TTCAGACCTTCTCTCCCACCCCGAAGATGACCACTCTTCGGGTGCTACTGCACATAGCCGCTCAGCGCGACTACGAGCTTCACTCTCTTGACTTCAGCACAGACTTCCTGCAGGGCAGCCTGCACGAGGAGATTTGGCTGTGCCGCCCACCTGGTTTCACTGGGTCGTTACCTCCTGGTACCCAGTGGAGCCTCCGGCGGCCAGTCTACGGTCTCCGCCAGGCGCCCCGTGAGTGGCACGACACACTGAGGACTACGCTTGCCGCTGTAGGGTTTGCTCCTTCTACAGCCAACCCGTCGCTGTTTCTGCGCACCGACACCTCTCTGCCGCCGTTCTACATCCTCGTGTACGTCGACGACTTGGTCTTTGCCACTGCTGACACTGCTGGACTCGCCCACGTGAAGTCTGAGCTGCAGAAGAGACACACGTGCACAGACCTGGGTGAACTGCGCAGATACCTTGGCTTGCAGATCACCCGGGACAGAGCACAGCGCACCATTACCTTGACTCAGTCACACATGGTGCAGCAGGTCCTTCAGCGCTTCGGTTTCACGTACTCCTCGCCTCAGGCCACTCCTCTGTCTACTCGCCACTCGCTCTCAGCTCTGCCTTTGGATGAGTCCGTAGAGCCGAGTGGCCCGTACCCAGAGCTTGTTGGCTGCCTCATGTACCTGATGACCTTCACACAACCTGACCTTGCATACCCTCTTAGCATCTTGGAACGCTATTTTGCTCCTGGGAGACACCGACCAGAGCACATGGCTGCAGCGAAGAGGGTGTTGCGCTACGTATGCAGTACGTCGGGCATGGGGCTAGTGCCTGGAGGGCGACGTCGAGTGGTCCTCACAGGTCACGCAGATGCTTCTTGGGCTGACGACCAGGCTCTGCAGCGGTCGTCACAGGGTTACACCTTCAGCCTTGGCTCCGGCTCTGTTTCGTGGCGGTCTACCCGCTCGTCTTCTGTTTTCAGCTCCAGCTGTGAGGCTGAGATCTACGGAGGGGCCATGGCTGCACAGGAGCTACGCTAGCTCACCTACCTGCTTACTGATCTAGGAGAGCCGCCTTGTTCTCCTCCAGTTCTGTACGTAGACAACAAGGCCATGCTAGCCTTGTGTCGGGAGCACAGACTGGAGCACAGAACGAAGCACATTGCTCTCCGCTACTTCCTGGCTCGTGAGCTGCAGCAGCGTGGTCAGCTCCGCCTCACCTACGTGGCCTCTGAGGCCAATACTGCTGATATCTTCACCAAGGCCCTTCTGCCTTGTGATCATCAGCGCTTCTGTACGATGTTAGGTCTTGTGCCTACTTGGCCACACTTGCTTACTTCTTGACCTTGGTTGTACTGTGATCTTTCTATACCTGCACTTGCTTGTTTGCCTTTTTATATGATCTTGCATGTGAACTGGCCTTTTGGCCTTGCTCTTGTGCTCGGATTGTGTGGTGACGTTGTGATCCACCCTGAGCTTGCTTTGCTTTAGTTGACTGGTCTTGTGACCTCTTGTTCTCCCCCACTTTGCCTATGGGGGTGTGTCAAACTCATATTTTATAGCTTGTGTAGGCTATAGTGGGGTAAACACTATGGGGTACAGTTTCCTAGGGTTTCCTACTTGTACCCAACTTTGTGTTAGTTCATTCATTCCTCGTTTCTTATCAGACAGTACACTAGAATGTCGTCAAGGTAAACTATCACGCATTTATCTAAGAGCGGCCTAAATGCCTCGTTCATGGTCATCTGAAAAGTCGCCGGTGCGTTGGTCAGCCCGAATGGCATCACAGTGTACTCGAACGACCCGTACCTAGTCCTGAAAGCTGTTTTGGTGCAGTCCGATGGTTCGACCCTAATCTGATGGTAACCTCCCCGTAAATCTATTTTCGAAAAAAACCCGTGCTGTTCGCAGTTGGTCGATCAGTTCGTCGGCGCGGGGAATGGGGTACCGCGATTTGACTGTTACCCTGTTCAGTGCTCTGTAGTCGATACACATGCGAAAACCCCCGTCTTTTTTCGGTGTGAATAGTATCGGTGCGGCGAACGGTGACGAGCTCAGTGTGATGAATTTTTTCTGTAACAGGTAATCTAACTGCTTCCTTAGTTCATCGAGCTCGGGCTGTGTCAGTCTGAACTGGCGCTGTAGGGTTGGTTGTGCCCCCGGTTCTAATTCGATTCGGTGGTCATGTGCTCTCTGAGGTGGCAGTCCTTCCGGTAAGTCGTCGAGAAAAATCCCGGGGTATCGTTTCAACAGTTCCTGTAATTCGGGCGGTACGACCGCCAGCAGTTTCTTGAAATCACTCGGCTGCTCCGCTTCCTCTACTACTTCGATGTCTACTACGTACACGTCAGCTCCAGTAGCGACAGCCCGTTTCATTGTGATGGCGTTGACGTGTACCGTTGAAGACTCGGGCGACTGCCAGCGAGGTAGCTCGAACCTATTACCACTGCTTCGCACGGTGCAGCTACCCGTCGTCCAGTCCATTCGCGGGTTATACCGTCGCAGCCAATCACGTCACAGTAAAATATCGTGCCCATCCAGTGTCGTTGCGAGCATTTCCTGTGTAAACCCGAAATTTCCCCCGCAGCGGACTTTGACTCTCTCTACCTTTTCCCGTATGGCCAGTGGCGTGCCGTCGACTAAGCGTGCGTCTATCTCCGGTAAGCAACGGCTAAGTGTCAGCTGTAGTTTTCGTGCGGTTGCGGTATTAACTAAACTGTGGCTTGCTCCTCCGTCGATAAAAATCTTCACTGCTGCTCCCTGTATTTTCCCGTGGATTGGTACTGGGCAATCCGTCGCTGTACCCTCCTTATTCGTCCGAGTCCGATCGATAGCATGAATCGGTACTGTGACTCGGTGAGGGTCGGTGGGTTTGGGTGAGCAGGCAAACTCGTCAATAGTTGGCCCGATTCCTACTAACTGCTGGCGTTTCCCTGCTTTGGAGACTCCCTCCCCTGCTCTGCTCCGCAGCGCCTTAGCTCCTCTGGGCATTCGCTCTTGCGGTGGCCCGGCCTGTTGCAAGCGAAGCAGCGCCCCTTAAACGGCGCGGCAGCTGCATTCGTCGCAACGGCGTGTACAGTGGCGTGCTCGATCGGTCCCTGAGGACGATGTCCATAGTAAGACCCCGGTCTCGGACGGTTTAAAATGTCGATTTTCTCGGCGAGCGCGAGAATCTCGTTGAAGTTCGAGAGCCCGCGTAGCATGATTACGTGCGAGATGTCCGGCTTCAACCCTCCGACGTAACGGTCCACCCGCTCCGCTTCGTGCATGTAGCCGACTTGCTCGCATAATGCGAGAAAACCACTCGTATAGTCTTGAACCGATCCAAGCTGCCGCCAAGTGCGCAATCTCTGACGCGCCGAAATCGAAGCCGCGATCGGCTCGAAGCGCGCCCGAAGCCCTGCGCACCACGCATCCCACGTGCTGTATTGGGCGGTCTCGCAGAATGAACTCCAGGTGACAGCTGGGCCCGTGGGCCCTTCCTCTTGCGACGGTGGCTCGTAGGCGCGTTGCGACGTCACGATGACTCGCCACCAGTCCATGGCGGGGCCCCTCAACAGCGAAACGACATACCGAATCTTCGCTGCGTCCGACTCGACGTAATTCGCGTCGAAAAAGACATTCATCGTGAAGACCCACGATTGAACCGTCAGACCTCCACGTTGGCTTGGGTCGAAGCAGGGCGGGCGTTGCGGCTTGAGTAGCATAGGTGCCATAATGGTATGTTCGCCACTTGTCGTCGCGAACTCCACGTGCCGATGGGCTTCACGAGGCTCCCGCGGGCTTGGTGCGACCCTGTTTCCTCCCATGCCAGGCATCGGCTGGGCGGCGCCATCACTGGCTGCGCCTGAGCGCTGTCCCATGCTGTCGTGTTGCGTTGGTGTGCCGGACGAAATGACGATCGGCTCGTCCGATTGTGCAGATGCATTTGTCGGTGCGTGTGGTGGCGCTGGAATGTTCACCGTGGATTGCTGACGTGCGGAGTCACGTTCCGCCGTGAGCGTCGCAATTTCGAGCGCCGAATCTTCAAGTTGGCGCACCAGACGGTCAAGCTGCTCCTGCGTCAATGTGGCGAGCGTGAATTCGGCCATGGCGGGGGTGTCGGGCGAGCTCAGCGAGAGCCTCGGTCGTGGCCGTGCGTGCTTGCGAGAGTGCACTACGAGCGGCGGTGCTGTGTCGCTGAGAGACGTCTACCCCCCCCAAAAAATTGAGATAGTGGGGAAGCGAAGGTGTGGGTGCGGTCCGAGAGGCGATCGTAGGCTCTGAATACCAAGTGTTACGAGTGCAATTGAGTGAACGAACGAGAATTGCACTATCGAAGCAAGAGTACAATGAGTGAAGGCATGAGCCAAGAATATATAGCGAAACTACAGTGGTAACGGTAATGGACGGTGGTTGTCGCGCGACGGGCCTGGGACTGAGGTTGGGAAAAAGTGTCGAAGCGGAGGCCCGGAGCGCGGGTTACTCGCCGAGCCGTGAGGTCGGGGTGCGATGTGCGAAGGTGGCGGGCGGATTGTCGATGCGAGGGTTGCGAGTGGTAACGGTGCTGACTGTGGTGCTACAGTGATGTACGCGTTGAGCAGGGATGCGAAGTAAGGAAAAGGAATTGTCCTTACACAAGTGCACACAAAACAGTCAAGATGGACTTTTGGAAGCCAGATACTATGTGCAGCACCTTATGCAATTATCTCATAGCTATATGTGTATACTATTCCGCTAAATGGCCAATAGCGAACTAGTTTGCATATCAGAACCTAGGAGGCTTGATGTATGTTGCGGAGGGGGTTTAATGGGACGAGGCTACGTGTACAAGGCTAGATACGGTGTGTTAAGCACAAATACACACAAGCCTTCGAGCTAAGCATTTACCACCGGGCTGCGCATCTACGCCAGGCTTCAGTTGTCCTCAGCGTTACAATGACACACTGCAACTTTGTTCCGACAATTGACGGGATAAGATGTATAGTAAAAAAATAAGCATAAAACACTGCACCTACTATTTATTGTTTATGTCTAAGCTGGCAGCTGCTGCACGGGTGGATACGGAACCTGTGGGTTCACGAAACTCTCGTGCACGAACGAGAGGTGGTAACACGTGTTACAACTGCTGGCAGGTTCTGCCTGGAACAGGCGGTACCCAAGGTCCTCCAAAGCAAACATGACATCTGTGGTCCTACCCACATGGTGTGTCCTGAGGGGGGACACAGGCAGATTGGGAAGGTGGGAGGGAAACATGCAAGTGTTACACAACTGCTGGCAGGTTCTGCCTGGAACAGGCGGTACCCAAGGTCCTCCAAAGCAAACATGAGGTCTGTGGTGTGGCCTACGGTACATGGTGGGTCCTGAGAGGGGGGGATTGACAAGGGCGACAAGGGGGAGTGGATGTGGCAGGCGGGCAGGCTCTCCCTGGAATGGAACAGGCGGTACCCAAGGTCTCTCCAGGGCAAACATGACGTCTGTGGTGCGAGCCACGTGGTGGGTTCTGGCGTAGTCCTATCCACGTGGTGAGTCCTGTTTGGGGAAGATTGTGAGGATTGGGAGATTGTGAGGATTGGGAGATTGTGAGGATTGGGAAGGTTGTGAGGATCGGTGGGATAGAGGCGAATCGCAAAGGGTTGCACTGTGAACAGGGCACCAAGCCTTGGCCAAAGGCAGGGCAAGTCTTGCACAGATCCACATTCCAAGGAATCGCTTCTGGTGGGCCAAGGCAGGGGGTTCAAATTGGCTTTGGAGGCGTCTCACAGTGAACAGGGCACCAAGTCTTTGCCAAATCCACATTCCAAGGAATCGCTTCTGGTGGGCGAAGGCAGGGGGTTCAAATTGGCTTTGGAGGCGTCTCACAGTGAACAGGGCACCAAGTCTTTGCCAAATCCACATTCCAAGGAATCGCTTCTGGTGGGCGAAGGCAGGGAGTTCAAGTTGGAAGATCCGGAGCGACTACCAAGGGCGTATTCACACTTACTGGTGGATCTCGAGGATTACTTGGCTCGCAGGGGCTTGCTGGCGGCCGAAGAATTGCAGCAGGTCCGGGATCACTGCCTCCTCACAGCGCTCACAGTCGATCTGTGGGGTGGGATGGGATGGGGTCGAGTGGGATGGGGTGGGATGGGATGGGGTCGAGTGGGATGGGGTGGGATGGGATGGGGTCGAGTGGGATGGGGTGGGATGGGATGGGAGCAAGGCTTGCTGGCGCCCAAAGAACTGCAGCAGGTCTGGAATCACTGCCTCCTCACAGGGCTCACAGTCGATCTGCCGGGGTGGGGTGGGATGGGGTTGGGTGGGGAGGGATAGGTTGGGATGGGTCAAGATGGCACTAGCTACCAGGGAATTGCTGGCGACCGAAGAATTGTAACAGGTCTGGGATCACCGCCTCCTCACAGCGCTCACAGTCGATCTGCATTGAAGGGTAGTGAAAGAATTGAGATGGGGTGGAATGGGGTGGGATGGGGTGGAATGGGGTGGAATGGGGCGGGATGGGAAGGATGAGTTGGGGTGGGGGTGGGATGAAGTGGGTTGGGCTTTGATGAATTGGGATGGAATGTGCATGTGGATGAGGTTGCCCATTATCCCATGCAGCGTCAGATACTCCCTTTGAGGCGCCTCAGAAGTCGTCATTTGAGGCGCCTCAAAAGTCATTATCCTATGCAGCGTCAGAAACGCCTGGATGGGCGCTGCCTTGCGCGGTACGGGGGTGAGGGTAGGGGAAGGGGAAGTGTGTGGTTGAGGTTGCTCATTACCCCATGCAGCGTCATGTGACCCGCCTGAAATGAAATAACAATCATAACGTTCATCTATAAAAGCTATCAAATAAAGCATCACGTACAGGAGAATCGTCACCTTCATAATGTCAATATGCGTGTGATTCAGCCCCTTCATTATCGTCGGCAGCGGAATGCAGCCCATCCTTATTTTCTGTTACAATCACCTCCATCGCAATCACAACCCACCTTGATGATGTCTATGTGCGTGTGGTTCAGCCCCTTCATTATAGTCGGGAGACTCAGAAACTCCTTTGTCGCCGCCGCCTTGCCACCCTGCCTTGCCTCCCTGACAGCCCAAATTCCTTGCCTCCCTGACAGCCAGAATGTCTATAGTACCTTCATGATGTCGATATGCGTGTGGTTGAGCTCCTTCATTATCGTTGGCAGAGTCAGAAACTCCTTAGTTGGCGCCGCCTTGCGCAGCGCTTCGATCTGATTGGCCGCGCCGACGCCCACGCTGACGTGGCGCAGGTGCGCCCGCCTGGCGATCTGTGCCTTGGTCCGAGCCTCCAGGAATGGGTTGATGATGAAGGAAGTTGCCTTGAACTTTCTCGCTGCTGCGTCTTCAAAGTCTAAGTTCACTGCACCGATGCTGGGTGATGGGTGGAGTGGGTGATGGGTGGAGTGGGTGGGGTGTGTGGGGTGTGTGAGGAAGGGGGAGAGTGGGGAGCAGAAGAGAAAGAGTGAACCGGGTGTGGAGGGGCATGTGACTTTTGAGAATTCTCAAAAGGGGTATGTGAGTGGAAGAGGACACCAGTTAGGCGCCATTGAGTTCGATACGGGGTGAAAGAGAAAGAGTGAATGGGTGGTGGAGGGGCATGTGAGTGAAGCTGGTGAGGAGTTAAGCTGCACCAATGCTGGTGGTGGTGTGGGTGTTGGTTGGGGTGTGTGAGGAAGAAGAAGATAATGAGTCTTGGTTCGCTCCTCGCTCCCGCGCCGTCAAAGTCCAGGTTCACTGTACCAATACTGGTGGAGGTTGGGTGAGTGTGGGTGGGTGGGTGTGGAGGGGGGAGAGGGTGGGAAAAGGTGTGTGTGTGTGTGTGTGTCCGGGTGCGGGTGAGTGTGTGTGCACATGTGGGTTGCGTGTGCACATGTGGGTTGCATGTGCGCATGTGGGTTGCGTGTGCGCATGTGGATTGCGTGTGCACATGTGGGTTGCCGTTGCCGTGTGTGCGAGAAAGAGAGAGAGTGGGGAGGAAGAGAGGAGCAAAGAGAGGAGTGAAAAGGGTGGGGTGGAGAGACGCGAATGTGTAAATCAAGCAGGCTGAATTGGACAGAAAAATGCACATAACAAATGCATATTATTGTATTGGGGTGTAGTGAAACAAGTACATCATAATATACCTGCAGAGCCTAGCGCACCTTTGAGTATTGTTGGATATACCCGTAAATGTAGGCTTTGTTATACCTCTAGTAATGACTGCACTTGTAATTATTACAGTACCTGTAGATAATGGGATGTGGATTGCGGCGAATCTTCACGACGTTACAAATCCACTGCAAATAAATACACGCGAATGAAAAGTGGGGAGCGACGCGCACGACTAGGAACAAGCGCATCAGGGGTTTGGGGCACAATGTATTGCGGAAGCACAATGGGGCAATCAGGCAGAAAACTGAGGCATCTTGAAAATGGGGTATCTTTGAACCGAGATGCATCTTTAAAGCCCCCATTCAAAGCTTATCTGAGCACCCATGAAATTATGAATGTACTACATTAGGAATGAGAACTTACCCATGCAGCCTTGCCCTTCCTGGCAAGCTTCTGCTGGCGCCTGGGCGAAAGAAACACCTCCTTCACCTGTAAACCCCAACCTTGCTTCAGTTATAACCGTGTGTATGTATGTACTACAGCGGAACACTCACCCAAGCGGCCTCGCCCTTCCTGGCTAGCTTCTGCTGGCGCCTACAGGGATACATGGGCGAAAGAAACACCTCCTTCACCTGTAACGAGTGGGTATAGGAGAACAAAAAAACCAAGAGATTCAGTGTGGTAGATTTATAATGCTTCTAAAGGAATGAATAAAGGGGGCAAAATCCTATGAGGGTTCCCAAATTCAGAACTCGGGGATAGATTGCGTTGGTGGGAGACCCATGATGGCCGTGCATGGAGTTGACTTTGAGTCGACTCAAAAGTCAACCCGTGCATAGAGATTTTGAGAATTCTCAAAAACTCCTTGCAACTCCTTGGTGGGAGACCCATGATGGCCGTGGTGTACATCACAACAACCTTAAAGCCTTCCTCGCACCACAATTCTGCACTGGGAATCGAAGCAACAAGTGCAGTGCAGCAAAACGTTGCAGTCCCTGATAGGGGTGAAAAGTATCAGAGCGAGGTTTCGATCCTCGGACCTGTGGGTTATGGGCCCACCACGCTTCCGCTGCGCCACTCTGATCTGCTTGGAATGTTTGGAAAACTAACCACAAGCCCTACCCCAATCCTCCACTCATCCTTCCCTCATCCTCCTCTCATCCTTCCCTCATCCTCCCCTCATCTTTCCCTCGTCCTCCCCTAATCCTCCCTCCCACTCTCCCCTCATCCTCCCCTCATCCTCCCCTCATCCCCCCCTCAATCCTCCCCCCATCCCATCCCAAATAAATCTCCACCCTCCCCCATACACCCAATCCCAGCCCTCCCACAATTTCCCTCCCCAACCCCCCCAGCCACACCACCTTCTCCCATCCTTTCCCTCAAAAGCGCTTTCCCTATCTCCCCACCCTTACACCCCCCCACTCCCTCCCCCCCCACCCCCTTCTCCTCCACCCCGCCAACCACTCCCCCCGCCCCCATTTCCCCTTTTCTCACCTTCCCCGCATTCCATCCGCGGAAGGGAGGCTTGGGCCTGCTTCCGCCCCCCTTCCCTCCGTTAGCCCGCACCTTCCCCCCAAATCACCCCCTTTTCTCTTCCTCCCCCTCCCTTCTCCCCTCACCTTCCCCGCATTCCATCCGCGGAAGGGCGGCTTGGGCCTGCTTCCGCCCATCATTTCGTTGCGCTGCGCCAGGTGCATCTGGGGGGAAGAAATAGGGGAAGACGGAGGGGGAAGAGGAGTTCAGTGGGATGGAGGAAATGGCAGGGGGGGATGAGAGGGAGTTGGGGGGAGTTGCGCCTGCTTCCGCCCATCATTTCGTTGCGCTGCGCCAGGTGCATCTGGGGGGAAGAATGGGGGAGGGGGGTGGGGGGAGAGAGTTGGAGGAAGGCGCGGGAAATGGCAGGGGGGAGATGGGAGGGAGGTTGGGGGAGTTGCACTTGCTTCCGCCCATCATTTCGCTTCGCTGCGCCAGGTGCATCTGGGGGGAAGAAAAGAGAAACGGGAGGGGAGTGGGGGGTGGGGGAGGGAGGGAATGTGGAGTGAATGTGGCGGAGGAAAAGTGTTACCCTGTTACACCGTCCATTCGTTAATTCTTACGCGCGTTCAAGGGAATGTGGGGAGGATGTGGGGGAGGAAATGTTCTACCCGGTTACCCGTCACCCTCCAATCATTGATTTCTTAACACATTCAAGGGCTCTTTTGTCTGTCGACCCGCCTCAAAACTCAGATTCAGCTCATTGTGTGCAGTAAGAATCTAGAATTTAAAGCACAGCCTATTTTTTCTCACTTACAGAAGCACCTCATCACGAGTTTAAATGAGTCTCTTCTTTCACCAACCACGAAAACCAACCATGTGACATTGTACTCGTTATAATCGCACCTGATAAACAGCCTCGCCATGGGTGAAATCCGCCTCGTCGATCGTCTGCTTCTTCCTCTCAGGCCCTCCGACGATTGGCTTCGATAAATCGAAGTCCGACAGAAACGGAACGTTTTCCTTTCCGCTTCCTGCTCCGCCCGCCTCCCCCGCCGCTGCGCCTGCGCCTCCCGCGGAGCCTCCGCCTTGCGCTTCCGCCGGTTTCTTCGCAACTGTGCCGGGTGGAACGGCGAAGATGGTAACGGATGCGCCTGTAACGAGGATGAGAATCATGCAAACGAACGCTGCGAAGAGGAAGAAGGCGAACGACGCGAGAAGCGCTCGCACGAGCGAGTCGCCCTGGCTGGCGCGCTTCCACCCTGCGCGCTTCGGGTTCATGGCGCTTTTCTCTAGCTATGTACCTTCGCTGAGTATAGGACACTAGAAACCGGAATAATAGTATTAGAGTAAGTAATTACCGGGACGTCGGTCCGCAACTATGCAGGCAGAGAGCGGTGGTAAACAACTTGACTTATTACAATCTTCTCTAGGAACGGAAAAGTGGATTTGAGCGTATTATCGTGTTGCTGAGACAACAAAATATGTCTGAAGGCGAAAAATAGTGTGCAACACGCTGCCATACGCCCCATACTTTCATTGACCAACCGGGTAGCTTCATTTCGGTTTAATCTGTTTTGAATCGGTGGAGAATAGTCCTATATGGTGGCGAGGGAAAAGTTTCCGCATTGATGCGCTGTCATTGCCTGCTTTGCTGCTGCTGCAGAGGCGCCCACATGCTACAGTACCACCATGTGGAAGTTGGTGTGGGGTGGGCTGAAACCAAGGCCGTCCAATGATTGTTTGTGTTACGAGTGCAATTGAGTGAACGAACGAGAATTGCACTATCGAAGCAAGAGTACACTGAGCAAAGGCATGAGCGAACATTATATAGCGAAACTACAGTGGTAACGGTAATGGTCGCGCGACGAGCCTGGGACTGAGGTTGGGGAAATGTCGAAGCGTAGGCCCGGAGCGCGGGTTACCAGCCGAGCCGTGAGGTCGGGATGCGATGTGCGAAAAGGGCGGGATGTTTGAATGATGCGATGGTCGCGAGTGGTAACGGTGCTGACTGAGGTGCTACAGTGATGTACGCGCTGGGCAGGGACGCGAAGTAAGGAAAAGGGAATTTCCTTACACTACCCCCCCTCCTAAGGAGGTCCGTCTTACGAAAGCGCATGGATGTCTCTGAAATTGCGGCTGCGCAGATAGTCCGTGATGACGGGGTGGTTTTCAAGTTTATTCAGTGGAACCCAGTTGTCCTCGGTGGGAGTACGATCTTTCCAGCGGATCAGGAACTCCATTTTTCGAGCTCCTCGAGGGTCACGAACTCTGTGGCTCAGGATTTTTTCCGGGGTGATGACGGGTTCGGTTGGTGGTCGTGTCATACTGGAGGGTCGATGTCGTGGGAGTTGGCTGGTGGAAGGCACGTAAGGGCGAAGTAAGCTGACGTGGAACGAGGGGCTGACGTACCAGTCAGCAGGGAGGAGGAGGTGCGCAGTGACGGGTGTAACCATGTGGCTGATTCGGAATGGCCCGCAGTATCGAGGGCGGAGTTTGGGAGTGATGGGCAGGCGGAGGTTTTGAGTGTCGAGTAATACAAGGTCGTCGGGCTGGTAAGTGACGGGTCTGCGGTGGCGATCGGCGTTGCGTTTAGCGATGATGTTTGATTTTTTAATTGCTTCGGCTGCCCTGGTCCGTGCTGCTTGCAGAATCTCGGCGAACTGTTGTGCTCGTGGGACGGGGTTGTCGGGATTCGGTGTCATGGGTACTGTTGGGTCCTGTCCGTAATTCAAGTAAAACGGCGACTGTTGCGTTGTGGCTGATGGTGCGTTGTTGTACGCGAACTCGATGAGTGGTAGCTGCTGTTCCCACGTATTCGGATCGTCGCACGTGGCTCGAATCAGCTGCTCCATGGTCTGATTGGTCCGTTCCGTCTGTCCGTCGGTTTCGGGGTGATAGGACGAACTGAATTGTAAGCGCGTGCCGAACTGCTGCCATAGGTTCCGCCAGAAGTTGCTGGTAAATTTCGTGTCCCTGTCGCTTATGATCGACGCGGGTATCCCGTGCAGTCGAACGACGGTGGAGATGAAGAGTCGGGCAGTTTCTTCGGCTGTGATCGATTTCCTGCATGCTGCGAAATGAGCCATCTTCGTTAAACGATCGACGACGACCAGGATCGCGTCATTCCCACTTGCCCCAGCTGGTAACCCCGTGACGAAGTCCATCGTCACCTGCTGCCAAGCACGCTCTGGAGGCGGGATGGGTTGTAATTGCCCCGCTGGTCGCTTCCTGCTTGACTTCATGAGCTGGCAAGTGGGACACGATGCCACGTGTCGTTGCACATCGGTCAACATTTCTGGCCAGTAGTAGTACCGCTGCAGCTGCTGCCGTGTTTTTTCTACCCCGAAATGTCCCGAGGTAACTCCATCATGTGCTTCCTGTAACAGTAGTTCCCGTAGTAGCGTGTATCCTGGTACCCAGATGCGGTCGGTTCCAGTTTTTACGTAATAGATTCCTTTTGCCGCTGCGAATTGCTGTGAGTTGCCTCCTGTAAAGAACGGGTCTGTTTGATATCTGTGGGTAAATAGGCCTGTTAGCAGCGGGCTGGTCTGAGCGGGTAGTATCGCGTGGATCTGGGCAGTGGGGCAGGTCAGTGCGTCGGCGATATTCGAGGCTCCTTTCTTGTATGTGACCGTATAGTGAAAATTCGATTCGAGAAAATTGAGCCATCGAATCTGTCGTGGGTTGAGGTGGGGCTGTGCGCGGAGGTACTGTAGAGATCGGTGGTCTGTCCGTACTGTCACGTCTGCGCCGGTCAAGTAGCAGCGCCACACTTTGAATGCGTGCACGATCGCGAGCATTTCGCGGTCGTGTATCGGGTAATTTCGCTCGGGCGGATGTAGCTTGCGTGATTCGTAGGCGATGGGTTGGAGGCCGTTGCCAAAGTCTTGTAACAGCACAGCTCCGATGGCGATGTCACTCGCGTCGGTAACCACTTCGAAAGGGCGGTGGGGATCAGCGATGCGTAGAACGGGTGGTGAACAGAGAACGTTTTTCAGGGCAGAGAAGGCAGCATGCTCTTTCTCCCCCCACGTAAAAGCGGCCCCTTTACGTAGTAAATCAGTGAGTGGGGCTGTTAAACGTGCCATGTCGGGCACGAACCGTCGAACGTAATTAACAAAACCTAAAAAACTCTGCAGTTCCGTGATGTTCGTCGGGGGGCGCCATGCTATTACGGTATCCAGCTTCTTCGGGTCAATCTCGACCCCAGCCTCTGAAATGACGTGACCCAAAAACTCTAGCCTGTCCTTAAAAAACTCGCACTTGGAGCCCTTGGTGAGTAGCCGATGTTCCTCTAAAACCTTAAAAACCGCTTCAAGATCCACTAAGTGCTGCTGCTTATCCCGGCTGTAAACTAGAATATCGTCCAGGTAAACTATCACGCATTTATCTAAAAGTGGCCTAAACGCCTCGTTCATGGTCATCTGAAATGTTGCAGGCGCGTTCGTCAGCCCGAAAGGCATCACTGTGTACTCGAACGACCCGTACCTAGTTCTAAATGCTGTCTTGGCGCAGTCCGATGGTTCTACCCGAATCTGATGGTAACCTCCCCGTAAATCTATTTTCGAGAAGACTCGCGCTGTTCGCAGTTGGTCGATCAGTTCGTCAGCGCGGGGGATGGGGTATCGCGATTTGATTGTTACCCTGTTAAGCGCTCGGTAGTCGATGCACATGCGAAAACCTCCGTCTTTTTTCGGTGTGAACAGTATCGGTGCGGCGAACGGTGACGAGCTCGGTCGAATAAACAGCTTCTCTAATAGATAATCTAACTGCTTCCTTAACTCGTCGAGCTCGGGCTGTGTCAATCGAAATTGTCGCTGTACAGTTGGCTGTGCCCCTGGTTCTAACTCGATCCTATGGTCGTGCGCCCGCTGAGGTGGCAGTCCCTGTGGTAAATCATCCGGAAATATCCCCGGGAACCGTTTCAGTAGTGCCTGTAGTTCGGTCGGTACGGCTGCCAGCAGTTTCTCTAAATCACTCGGCTGCTCCTCTTTTTCTACTAGTGCGATATCCACTGCGTACACGTCAGCTCCAGCAGTGACAGCCCGTTTTATCGTGATGGCGTTGACCTGGACCGTCGAAGATTCGGGTGGCTGCCAGCGAGGTAGAACGACCCAGTTACCACTACTTCGCACCGTGCAGCTCCCCGTCGTCCAGTCAATCCGTGGGTTGTACCGTCGCAGCCAATCACGTCCCAATAAAATGTCGTGCCCATCCAGTGTCGTTGCGAGCATTTCCTGTGTAAACCCGAAGTTCCCCCCGCAGCGGACTTTTACTCGCTCCACCTTTTCCCGTATGGCTAGTGGCGTGCCGTCGACTAAGCGTGCATCTATCTCAGGTAAGCATCGGTTAAGGGTTAACTGTAATTTTCGTGCGGTTGCGGTATGAACTAAGCTGTGACTTGCTCCTCCGTCAATAAAAATCTTCACTGCTGCTCCCTGTATATTCCCGTAGATCAGTACCGGGTAATCCGTCGCTGTACCCTCCTTATTCATCCGAGCCCGATCGATGGCGTGAATCGGTACTGTGACTCGGTGAGGGTCGGTGTGGTTGGGCGAGCAGGCAGTCTCGTCAGTAGTTGGCCCAACTTCTACTGACTGCTGGCGTTTCCCTGCCTCTGAGACTCCCTCCCCTACTCTGCTCCTCGACGTCTCAGCTCCTCTGGGCATTCGCTCTTGCGATGGCCCGGCCGGTTGCAAGCAAAGCAGCGCCCTCTAAACGGCGTGGCAGCTGCATTCGTTGCGACGGCATGTACAGTGGCGTGCTCGATCGGTCCCCGAGGACGATGTCCGAAATAGGACCCCGGTCTCGGTCGGCGTAGGATATCGATTTTCTCGGCGAGCGCGAGGATTTCGTTGAAATTCGATAGCCCGCGTAGCATTATTTCGTGCGATATGTCCGGCTTCAGTCCTCCGACGTAACGGTCCACCCGCTCCGCCTCGTGCATGTAGCCGACCTGTTCGCAAAGTGCGAGAAAACCGCTGGTGTAGTCTTGAACCGACCCGAGCTGGCGCCAAGTGCGCAGTTTCTGACGTGCCGTAATCGAAGCCGCGATCGGCTCGAAGCGCGCCCGAAGTCCTGCGCACCACGCATCCCACGTGCTGTATTGGGCGGTTTCGCAGAACGAAGTCCAGGTAACAGCTGGACCCGAGGGCCCTTCCTCGCGCGACGGTGGCTCGTAGGCGCGTGGCGACGTCACGATGACTCGCCACCAGTCCATGGCGGGCCCCCTGAGTAGTGAAACCGCATACCGGATCTTGGCGGCGTCCGACTCGACG